TACTTCTAAGGTTTACCTATTATGACTTGTGCTGCTACCAAAATGGGTATACAGATCGGTGAGGCACAGTGCCTGCCTGGCAAGGGCAAGGTCCTGAGTTTGATTCCTGGTACCAAAAAAAATTGGGTATGTATGTATCACTGTAACAATGTCTTTAACTCTGTTGGGAAGAAGATACATAGAAGAGGTAAAACTAAGTCAAGTGGAACTTCTGGTTTCAGTTTTTGAAGACACTTCATACTAATTTCCATAGTGGTTATACTAGCTTACAGTCTCACAAATAATGTAGAAGGGTTCCCTTTGCCCCACATCCTCACCATCATTTGCTGTTTTCAGAGATCCTAGCGACAGCCATTCTTTCTGCAATGAGATGAAATCTCGGTGATATTTTGATCTGCATGTCTGTAATGGCAAAGAAATTACAAAGTTCCTAGGATCATATGGCAGTGGAAGTGCCACACACAAACCTTGTGGGATGCACCAAAAGCAGTCTGAGGAGGGAAGCATGTGGCTGCGGATGTGCACATTTAAAAGGGATCCCAGTGATGTGTGTCAAGGCCCTACAAAGAGGACAATCCAAATCCAAAACTGGTAGACTGAAAAAAACACAAAGGGGGCTAGGAGACAGCTCAGTGGTCTAAGCACCTGCTTGGCAAGAGCAAGAACCTGGGTTCGATCCCTGCTATCACATGCTATGCCAGCCAAGAAACCTCTGGCATGCCATGCCGGCGATGGAAACTGGGCATGGTGGTGCATGCCTATAATTCCAGCGCTGATGAGGCTAAGACAGGAAGATCATTATGAGCCCAAGCTGTGCAGTGAGATCTTGTACCAAATAAATGAATAATTTTTTAAAATCCATAAAGATAGGAGTAAAAATTAATGAAATTATAAACTAAAACAACTATATAAATGATTAACGAATTAGAGTTGGCTTTATGAAAGGATAACAATATTGATTAAACCCTTAGCCAAACCTACCAAAACGAAAGAAAAAAGAATCCATATCAATGCAATTAGAAAGAGAAAAGGTGAAGTCACATCAGCAAAGTGCTAAGATGGTGAAAAATTATTTGACTACTTACAGTCCAATGAACTGGAGACCCTAGAAGAAATAGAGAAATTCCTAGAGACATTTGAATTACTAAAACTGAACCAAAAAGAATAAAAACTGAACAGACCAGTAATGGGCCATTTAATAAAAGCAGGTATAAAAATTTCTACCAACTAAAAAAAGCCTAGGACTTGATAAATTCACTGGTGAGGAACTTCAGGGGAGACCTAATGCCAATACACCTCAAAGTTTTCCATGAAATTAAAACTGAGGGAGCACTGCCAAACTTACTTCTGGAAGCTAGCATTACCTTGATACCAAAACCACACAAGACTAAATAAAAAAAAGAAAACAGGCCAATCTCCTTAATAAACATAGGTGCAAAATCCTCAACAAGATACTGCAATAAATCATTGAAAAGATCTTGGCCAGGTGTGGTGGCACATGCCTGTAATCCCACCACTCAGGAAACTGATGTGGGAGGATTGCTGTAAATTTGAGACCTGTCTGGGCTAAAAAACGAGTTCAAGGCCAGCCTGAATTGTGTAGTGAAACCCTGTCTCAAAAAGGAAAAAAAAAATCTTATCTCATGACTAAGATAGCTTCACTCAAAAGATTCAAGGATATTTTCAAGTACATAAATCAGCCAATATAATATACCGCATGCGATGCAGACAATACAGAGGCAAAGATAAAAATCACACTATCTCAATAAATGTAGAAAAGTCCTTTGATAAGATCCAATATCTATTTTTGATAAAAAAAAAACCTGCAGAAAAAAGATATAGAAGAACCTTATCATAAACCAATACTAGACATTCACAAAAAAACCAATGCCAACATCAAACTAAATACAAATTCCATGCTTTAATAGGTGTATTTCACAGACTATGAAGTTACCCAAATGAAAAGCTTTAAAAAGCAGCCAATGATTTTTTAACTCTCAAGCTTGTCCACAATGAGACTCAAGCAATTCATCAATTACAGTTTAATGCTTCAAGCCCATTACCAGCTACAAAGGAGGTTTCTGACAAGGGACTTGTGCTCTGGCAGGTCACCTGCCTGTCCCTCCATTCTGGGGGGCAGCAGTGTTCTGCATGGCTGAGATAAAGAGATAACCAACGTATTTCATGGGAAGAAGGTGACTGCACTGTCCCTCACAGTTCCTGCTCAGCGTCACACCAAGAAGCCTCAGAAAAAGAAAAGCATAACATAGAAATGTACTGAGTGGTGAAAGGAAAAAGAATTTGAAATAGAGCAATATCCTGCATTCGTTTATGGGGGACAAAATAATGTATAATTCTTAATTTTCTCTACATTCATCACCCTACTTATAGGTTTTTGGGGTTTTTTTTTGGTACCGAGAATTAAACTCAGGATCTTCCACTTACCAGGTAGGCACTGTGCCGCTGAGCTGTATCCCCAGTCCCTCAACACCATGTTTATAGAGATCAAAATGACAAGCAAGTAGTATCTACCATCATGTGTTCCTGGAAAACAATTGAAGAGAAAGAGAAAAACCTAACAGACACATAAACATCTCAATGGAAACGTCAAAACACACGAAACAGATAGTCATCACGAACCACGTGTAATCCCAGTGAGGCAGGGGGGTGCTGAAGCAGGAGGATCTCTGTGAGTTCGAGGCCAGCCTTGGCTGCAAAGTGAGTTCAAGGCCAGCCTGAACTGCACAGTGAAACCTTGTCTAAAATACACACACACACACACACACACACACACACACACACACACAGAAGGGGGGCATTAGGCACATGCCTGTAATTCAAATACTTGGGAGGCTGAGACAGGAGGATCGTGGGAGTTTGAAGCCAGCCTTGGCTATGTACTGGAGTTTGAGGCGAACCTGTACTATATAGTAAGACCCTGACTCAATTAAAGGGGGGGGGCGCTGAGGGAGCCTAGAGCCTGCTGAACCAATACTTGTGTTTGGGTAGGCCAGGGAAGTGGGTGGGGCCGAGGCCTGCACAGGTGGTGTATGGCAGCACGAGTCCTCTTTCTCCTGTGCAGTCCAAGGCAGCACCTCGCCCCAGAAATGCCAGTATTCCCAGGGTAATACCAGGACAGCAGGAAACTTGAGACGTTCTTGCTCCACAGACTGTGCCAATAGCACCCTAAACCCACTCTATTGGGCGAGCATGAGCTCTCAAAACAGTATTCCAACAGATTCGGGAATGGAGGGCTCTGGATCTGGCTCTGAGGGAATCAGACTCAGGTCCATAGAAACAGGTGATGACCCCTAAGGAGAAGGGAGTTACCTGGAAGACTCCTTCCGGCTCCCCTGTCAGCCCTATCTGATCGATGTCCATCAACGTGAGCGTGAGGGCTTTGGGGGACTGGACTTTCGGTTCCAAGTTCTACACCTTGAGAGAGGACAGCAGAGAGGGTCAGGGCCCTTAGGCATCCAGTTGATGGACTGGCTGTGTGGGAGTATGGGGGACCACTCAGAGGGGGTCCGCACACAACCCAGGCCTGCCATGCTGCTTGGTCGGAGGCCACACAGGGGCCGAAGTGTAGGAATAAGCTGCTTTCCCCTTTCAGCTTCGGGGAACCCTGGCATTGGAGAGGGTGGCTGCTCAGGCACTGCAGGATACCAAGGTGAAGACCCCTAAGCGAGGCTGTGTGCCCTGAGAGCCCCGCCCTACCCCCCCACAGTGCACACGTCACCGGAAGTGACGTCTACTGTCCCACCCTCCGTGGGGTCACGCTTCGTAGCGTCACGCTTCGTGAGGTCACGAAGACGTGAAAGTCTCTTCGGAGCGGTGTGCAGTTGGCGAGGCAAGCGGAGAAGGTGCGGCTCGGTTAAGTGTCGCATTTGGGGGTTGTGGGGGTGGGGAGAAAGCCCCAGCACAGAGAATAGGACGTGGAACAATCTAGATTTACGCGTGTTGTCGGCCCTGCGCTCTGGGTACATCTTTTTCTAGCGGGGACCCCAGTCAGCCTAAGGGGATCCAGAGGGCAGAGCCAGAGACATTTTCTAAGGGCAGAGCTTTCTGTAAGAGGAGTGTAGAGGAACCGGTCTGAGTTAGGTGAAAGTGAGGGCTGTGGGACCAAGGAAGCCCTGTCTCCACAAACATGGTTCCAGAATATTCTAGAAAAGCCTTTGTTACTTGTGAATTCTCTGAAGACGGTTAGGTTAACGCCCCCTTTGGCCTCTCTGGGAACTGACAGCAGAATCAGCCAATGAGGGCCGTGCCGTGTGAAATCTGAGCCTATGAGGTGTCGGTGGGAGGAGCAAAGAGGACCTCCGCTCAGATGGAGATGAGCGGCCCCGGGGAAGGAGGAGGTACTGAGGGAGTCTCGCCACGTTGAAGGGGCCCAGGAAAATGGCCGCTGTTGCTTGCCCTGTACCAAATGGGGTAGAATTTCTAGGCAAGGGCCAGGTTTTCCTTCACTGGGACCTGAGTGTCAGATCCTTGTCGTGAGGTCCGTGCTCCACGTAGCAGAAGCAGAGTCAGCGGGGCTCAGCTAGCTGGAAGCCGTAGCTCGAGTCAGAGTGAGGAAGAAAGCAGGACAGAGGATCCCAGGACAGGGGAGCACAGTATCACGGTGCTTTTGCTCTGAATTGTGTCCTGCATTCTTTCACGAAATCTGAGCGGGGGTTGCAGGGCCAGAGAGGTGGGGGTCTGTGGAAGACTCTAGAGCAGGCCTTATAGGGAGGACAGTGCAGGGAAGCTTAGGTGCTAGGTTAGAGGGTGGCCGCCACCTAGCAGTCAGCATTGCTCTGCACGGTGCACCTTTGCCCCCTGCCTCTGGGTGTCACGGAGGTGCAGGACTTGGGCTGAGGAATGTGGTTTCAGTTAAACAGATCCAAGATATGGGAAACTGTGCCTGCTGTCAGGCCGGGGTGGCCAGAGACAATACTGAGAGAAATGGACACCCACAACCTACATGCATCACCAGCCTCTACCTTTGTGGTCAAACGGAGATGATGTCCTTGGATTCTGAGATGGAGTCTCAGGTGAGCAGGGGAGGGTGTGAGTTGCTGGGCCTGCCCCAGATGGAGGAGGACTTCTCTAATCTGTCCTTCTGTCCAAACCCTGAGGCAAGCTTATGCAGGGGGTGTGGAGGTGCTGCATCTCATTTCTGTTTGCTTGGGCCAGGGAGATCTCAGCTCGCTGAGCAGTGGGTCACGAAACCAGCGAAGCCTCGCTTCATCAGCAGAGGAACAATGCCAGGACCCATCAGCAGTCAAGGTGAGCACCTTGGATGAGGAGGACTAAAGGCATGGAAGGAAGTACCCCCCACGCACCCCAAAAGGAGGGAGTCCATAGAGCTCTGGGGGCCATAGGGATCCCAGGAGCTGCCTGGGGTCTAGCTGTGGGCCGAGAGAACCCCATGCCCCCGTGTATAGAGCCCCAGCCTCAGCCAGTCTCTACTGTCACCTAAGGGAACCATGACTGGGCCTGCTTCCCCTTGCTTTCGCTTTGAATGCTGCTCACACACCCCCTCTCCCCAGGTCCCTGAGCCCCAGTCGCCAAGTTCCTGCCTGGGGTCACATGCTACAGCTGTCATGTCTGGATCTCCAAAGCCTTGCCAGCTTGAGGAAGCCCCTGAAGACCAAAGTGAGACACAGGGCTTGATGGGTAGGGAGGTTTCAGTGCTATATAGCAGGAAGTCATCTCTTGCACTCCCTGTCCTTGTCGCTCTTCCTCATCCTCATCTTTCTGTTCTTTGATCTAGATGCTGTAGAAGAGGTTTCTGCTGCTGGAATGCTGGATCCTCCTCAGTGTCCTGAGGGAAGCTCCTCACTCCTGTCCCCCAGGGTCAACAGCTCCTTGAATCACTTCTTTGAGATCTCCAGCAGTGAACAGTGGGACTATTTATTCCCCTCAGAGAGCGAGTCAGACACTGACTCCTTGGATAGTGATGGTGTGGATGCCAGGCTGGCTGCATTACTGCAGTTCCTGGCCTTGAAGTATCTAAGGGAGGAGCCAACCACCATGTTAGAAATGGAGGCAGTAGTCACTGGAGATTATGAGGAGTATTTCCCTGTGATCTTTAAGGAGGCCTCTCAGTGTATGGAGATGGTCTTTGGCATTGAGGTAAAGAAATTGCGACCTTCTAGCCCCTTCTATTTTCTGGTCCCTGTCCTGGGCCTCACATATGATGGGATGCGGAGCAATAACAAGGGGTACCCCAGGATCATTTTTATGATACTTATCCTGGGGATCATCCAAGCTCATGATGACCGTGTCAAGGAGGAGGTAGTCTGGAAAGTGCTGGCTGAGTTAGGGGTGTATCCTGGAAAGGAACATGTCATCTATGGAGAGCCCCGGGAATTCCTCACCGAGGATTTGGTGCAGGAACGGTACATCACTTGCATAGAGGTGCCCAACAGCAATCCTCTTCAGTACGAGCTGTTGTGGGGTCCAAGGGCCTTAGAGGAAACCAGCAAGATGGATGTAGTACAGTTTTTGATCAGGCTTAGAGCTACCATCCTCAGAGCCTTTCCTATAGGTGAGGATTTGGAAGATGAAGATGAAGAAGAGAAAGACAAAGAGGAAGCGGAAGGGGCCTTAGAGGAGCGATGATTGGGTACAGGGCATATTCCAGGGCTACATCCAGGAGTGTACTTCCTGAGGCAGATTCTAAACCCTATGTTTGAAAAGAGCAGTTATTTTTCTAAGCAGTGCAGATATAGAATGGGGATCAGGTAAATGCAGCATGTAATCACTGTGTTTCTCTTCTGTGTGGATGACTGGAGGATTTCTTCCCTTTTCATATTTTTCACGAGTTTTTCCTTTTAATGACAATTGGGTTAACTTCAGTTATAAAGTTTTAAAGGAATTGGTCATAAACATTGCTGTATTTAAGTTTTCTTAATTTTGCTGTTTTGTAAAACATGGTGAAATATTTTGTGATCTGGGACAAAATGATTTATTTTTGAAATAAAGGCTTTTCTGAAAATATTCAAAAAGTCATCATTAAAATAGGGTCAATAAATATGGAAAAAAGTGAAATATACTTAGTAGTTTATCTCTATTAGTGGGTTCTGTAAAATAAAAAATACGCCAATATATGTTTAGTTTATAAAAATATATTGGAGCACTTTAAAATACATTTTAGCAGTTCTCCTAATGCAGAACCCCATCTGCTCACAGGTACGGGGAGCCCAGACCCTTGAGCACATGCTCTTTGTGAGGCCCTGGGTTACGGGTGGAGACCTGAGTAAACTCGGACAGCGGGACCCACTCTTCCCCACAGGATGGTGGAGCCAGGGCCCTCTCCAGGCCTGGCAGGACATGGAGCGATATCCTCAGGGGCTTGAAGAACAAGTAGAAGAACAGAGTGGAGGTGCGGGGAAGGGTGGACGCTTGGGGCAGCTTGGCACTGGGGGAAACTGCGGTTCCTTCTCTGAGCATGATTCTACTGCGTGGTGGCCAGGGCCAGACGCTCAGCTGCGGCGTCTTGGGGCTGAAATACCAAAATGCCCCGAGCAGTTGTGCTAGGGCTATAGATGGCAGAGACAAGCGTCCACCTGGGGCAGGTACTGGATATGTCCTGAGGTCTTGTTCCAGTGCAGCTGGACGTAAGAACTAGGCGGTTGGTAACCATCGCCTGCAACAATTTCTGGGCAAATGCGGGATATTTCTTTGAAGTTGTGCCCAGAAAGTGCCAGAATGATACATGTTGGCCTGGGGGAGCCAGAGAAAAGTCCTCGGGTATACTTCTCCTACCTTTAATGTAATGGGCCCAACTCAGAATGAGGCTGGGGTTTGGGTGGGCTGAGAACAGCGGCTGGAGAGAAAGCAGCTGGGAGAAAGGCGGAGCTGGTCCTCCACTCATGTTCTAGGAAGTGGGGTGCATCCACTCACTGAGATGGCTCCATGTACAGATTTTGCAATGCGTCTTCAAAGAGGGACGAGTTACTGAACACTGACTCATGGAATTTCCCTTTTGGGTCCATTGGGTCCTCCACATCCTGCAGAGCTGCAGATCCTCTGATAAGCCCTGGAGAGCAAGGACAGTAAGAACAACACCCCCAGGGCTGGGGGTGGGATCCAGTCCCGTTAGAGATGGCAGCCACTTGCCATTCCATGTAGTCACCACTCAAGCCAGGCTCAGGGCTGGGTGCTTACACACAGGGCTCACCTTCATGCGGTCCTGCTGGACAGGCCTGGTCCGGCTCCCTTCCCAGAGGAGAAGCTGCAGCCTCCCCTGGCCGGGAGTTTCCAGGGTGACGGCCGGGAAGTGACGGGGCTGAGTGAGTACATCTCGAGGCCACTGCTGACCTCACTCCTTCCATCCCAGGTCCAAATTGCTGGTCTCCGAATCATTTCTCAGCCCAGCTTAACGTCTCTCTGCCAACCAGAAGAAGGATGGGGTGGAGGCTGACGTCAGGCTCTATGAGCAAACCTAGAAAGACGACAGCCACGATAGAGGGAATGTCTGTAGTGGACTCGAGAGAACCAAGCGCAGTTTCGGGCACTTCTCTCAGTGCCAGCACCTTCCTGCTGTGCACCCATTACCTGGTTCCCCCCACGTGCCCTTCCTTCCAGCCCTGGCACCTGGCTCAGCCCTTGCCTGCGGCCTCCTCCTGAGGACACACATGCGCCCTGCCCTCCCCATTCCCCTCAGGAGTCCCTGGCTCAGGGCAGCTCATCCCGGTTTCCCTGTCACAGCCGTGGACCTTGCTCAGAGGAGCTCACGCAGCACCGTGACTGCAGACACCTGGGCATCCG